TGGTTGCTAAGGCAGCTCTGCTGAACATTTCATGAAGAGGAGGTAGGAGGGTGAAAAGGAGAAGAAGCTAGAGATGTAGTTGGTGACTCTGGAGGCTTGGAAAAGAACTAATAAAATGAATAAAGAAGAAGGAAGCTGGGCTTGTTTAACTTGGAGAAGAGACGATTATGGTGGGGAAGGGATAGCTCTTTTCAAGCATTATAAGGGTCAACAAGTAGAAGAGGGAGAGAGGGAGGCAATAAGCATTTATAGAGTGCCTACTGTGTGTGAGGCACTGTGCTAAGCACTTTTTTTTATACAAATATCTCATTTGGAAGAGGGATTAGACTTACTCTATTTGACTCCAGATGGAAGAGGCAGAAGCAGGAGCAAGGGGTGGGTGGAAATTGCAAAGAGGCTAACTGAGGCTTGATTGAGAACTTGCCAGCAATTAGAACTATCCAAAAGGGGAATGTGTCTTTCCTGTGTCAGTTATTTCTATTTACCCTGTATCTAGCTTGCTATTTGTTTGTATGTTGTCTCTCCCATTAGACTGTAAGCTCCTTGAGGGCAGGGACTGGTTTTTATTTTTGTGCTTGCCACTTTTTGTATCCTCAGCACTCAGCATAATGTCTGGCACATAGAAGGAACTTAATAAATGCTGAGTAAAGCACAGTGCCTGGCACATAGTAGGCACTTAGTAAACGCTGACTGGCTGGCTGGTGGGTTTCCCCTCCTTGGAGTTGAGGAGGCTGGATAATCAAATGTTGGGAGTCTAACAGTGTGGATCCCCTTCATGGATGGCTGGGACAAGATAGACTTAAAAACCTCTGACCTAATAATAACTGGCCCGTCCATAGGTGGTAAAGTTTACAGAGCACTTCACATTTGTGTTCTTGCTGATTCTTCACCAGAGCCCTGTGAGGTAGGTACTACAAATATGGCCCCAATTTGACAGATGAAGAAACAGAGGCTTAGAGATGGTTAAGTGGCTCCTCTGAGTCTATTTAGTGTTCAGGGTCTAGTAAGTGTCAGGCTGTATTTGAAGCCAGTTTCAACACATTTTCTACCCTACTACAGCCATTCAGGGTAGATGTGTCTGCCCCAATTCAGGCCTTAGGGTTGACCTTGGGTTAACTAGGAAACGTGGAACAAGTCAATACATTAAATTGAAGGGTAACCTGGAATAATAATGTTAGCTAGTATTTATGTCGTATTTTCAGGTTTGCAAAGGAGTTTACAACTATGTCTTACTATATCCTAGCAGCAACCTTGGGAGCTAACAATAGCTGTAGTAGCAGTAGCAGCAGCAGTAGTAGTACTAATAGTAGCAGCAGCTAATATTTATAATATACTTACTATGTGTTGGGCATTATCAAAGCGCTTTACAATTATTATCCCATTTGATCCTCATAACAACCCTGGAAGGTAAGTGCTATTATTATCCCCATTTTACAGATGAGGAAACTGAGGCAAAGAGAGACTAAGTAAAATAGACCAGCTTCTTGAAAAGCTAGTTAGGGTCTGAGGATAAATTCCAACTCAAGTCTTTATGGCTCCAGGTCCAAAACTCTTTCCACTGCACTACCTGCTGCCTCTTCTGTAATAATCTGTTTGTTTTGTGGGTGGTTTCATTTACCAGTACAGCTTCTCCATAAGACATAATAAATTTGAATGTCATAAACATGTGTGACTAGCTCTCATCTCCTGATTATCCGTCATCTGAGAACTCAAGGACAGAAGCCTAATGAATGAATTGACTAATAGCTTTTCCTCATCTTAAAAGACAATAATAGCCTTTTCTGGAGTCCCCTAGTGAGTAACATTTAGTAACATTACCCGAAAGGGTAAGCAGGCTTTACAATGGTCAGAACACTGCTTCTAGCAACACATAGAAACTGTGTGACTCTATTTTCACATCTGTAAAATAGGGACAATAATTTCTTCACTACTTACCTCACAGGGTTGTTTGTTAGCAAAACTGTTTTGTCAGTCTTAAAGTCCCAAAATCCAAGTCACAAGGAGCTTAATGGACTTTATAGCAATGCTGAGATTTTTCAACAAATCATTGAGTTAGTAAATTGAGATTGTACTGACCTTCTGCAGGTGGTGGTGCTGTGGCTGGAACACTGGGCCTAAAGTCAGGAAGACCTGAGTTCAAACCCAACCTCTAACACAAACTGTGTGACCCTGGGTAAGTAATTTAACTTCATTTTGCCTCAATTTCCCCAATCGTAAAATGGGAATAATAAAGCACCTATCTCCCAGGGTTGTAGTGAAGATCAAACAAGATAATATTTTAGAGGAAAAAGTACTTAACACAGTGCCTGGCAAATACTAGGTGCTATTTAAATGCTTATTCCACTCTCTGTTTAAAAAAAACCAATGGTGTGTTTCATTAATGGATGACTGCTAGCCAGCCTATACTCAGTAAGCATTTATTAAGTGCTTGCTATTAATTAGGGGCACATTAGTTCAGCCTGAAGAATGGTTGTGACCCTGGCAAAATAAAAGAGTAGGCTTACATAAACTCTCATTCCCAAGGATAATTATGGTTTAAAAAAATGCAAATAACCCTTGATAGGTCTTTTACCATTGTAGGTAAATAAAGGAGTTATTAGCTTTTGTTTGTTTTTGCTAGGCAATGGGGTTAAGTGACTTGTTCAGGGTCACACAGCTAGTTAGTATCAAGTATCTGAGGCCAGATTTGAACTCAGGTCCTCCTGATTCCAAGGCGGCTGCTTTATCCACTGTGCCACCTAGCTGCCCCAAGTTATTAGCTTTTGAAGAGAAACATGGGGAAGGGATTGGTCAGAAGAGTTTCCTGATTACCTGGAAGAGCAGTACAGTCTAGGAGCAGGTTTGTTTGGCTCTTTGGTTATGTCTTCTAGAGGAAGTAGTGGACATGCCCAGTCAAAACCCTGAGTGGATTTGGGGATGTTTTCTGAGGCTTGAAGGGTAACGCTTCATCATATCTCTTCATGTCTTGTCTTTTGGAAGGCAGTGATCAGCTTTCCCAACCATTCCACCATCAGCCCACCTGCACCCCAGGGATGGCATCGGTGGGAGCCATGGTGGCCTATCTAGAATTCTCAGACATTTGATCCTACATTGCCTTGTGACATTTTTCCTTGAGCATAGATCTGCCTCATGATATCTAGTCTAAGCACAGGTCTGATCACATCACTGCTATGTAACAATAGTTAGACTCGGGGGGCTTGGATCCAGCTACGGAAAGGGATTGGCCCTCAGGTATATGGTCCAGGGAAGCCATGTGGTTAAAGATGTGAATTCCTGAACCTCATATTTCTAGGGGAGTCAGTCAGTCAATAAACATTTATTAAGCATTTACTAGGTGCTAGGCACCATGGAGGATACAAAGAAAGGATGCCAATTTCTAGGTATGTACAAGATATATACAGGGAAATGGAAGGGAATCTTAGAAGTGAGAACCCTTGGGGGTGAGCTTGGGTGGGGGGAACCAGGAAAGGCCTCCTGGAGAAGGGGGAATTTGAGCTAAGTCTTGAAGGAAGCTAAGAGGTGGAGGTGAGGCAGGAGAACATTGAAGGCAGGGGGACACAGCAAAAAGGCACGGAATCTGGATGGAGGGTGGGAGAGTCAGCAGGAAGGCCAGGGCCACTGAATCAGAGAGTAAATGTAAGAAGATGGAAAGGTGGGAAGGAGTTGGGCTGGGAAAAACCTTAGATGCCAAAAGGAGGATTTTAGATTTGATCCTGGAGCTAACAGAAAGTTATTGGAATTCATTGAGTCCGAGTGTGTGTGTGTGTGTGACAGAGAAAGAGAGACACAGAGAGAGAGAGAGAGAGAGAGAGAGAGAGAGAGAGAGACAGAGAGACAGAGACAGAGAAAGAGAGAATGAAAGAGAGAGGGAGAGAATGAGAACGAGAGGGAGAGAAAGAGAGAGGGGAGAGAGAAAGAAAGAGGGTGGGAGGGAGGGAAGAAGGGGAGGGGAGACAGACAGAGAGATTGTGTTTTAGGAACATCACTAAGACAGCTGAGTGGAAGAAGGGTCAGAGTGACAAGGTACCTGAGTCAGGAAACCCAACCAACTGGCTATTACCCTAGTCTAAGAGGGAGATAGTGAGGCTGTGTACCTGGATGGAGAGTGAGTAGAGAGAAGGGGGAGTAAATTCGGATGTTCAGTGACAAGACTCCACAAGAGCTTGGCTATGTGGGGTGAACGTGGGTGAGGAATCAAGGATGATACTGAGGTCGTGAGCCAGAGAATCCCTGGAGAGAGGGCTGTGTGGTTGGCAGGGAAACGCTTCCTAGGCATCGCCATCCCAGAATGCAGCTTTCTGTAGGAGGATGGGCAGTTCCTGGTCAGTGCTAGCTTCAGAGCTGCCTTGTTAGCTATCCCAGCTTTGGGAGTTTCTGGACTCAGCCATCTAGAGTGAAAGTGAGAGTGAGTTTTTGGGCAGCACCAGCCTCTTGGAGATAAAAGAGGCTGCCAGAGCTAGAGGAATGGTCAGAAACAATGATACAGGAAAATAAGAGATCTGGACTTTGAATTCTGCTATCACAGCAAGTTATTTGGAAAGCTCCATTTTGTTGGTTTGACTTTGTGACCCCATTTGGGGTTTTCTCGGCAAAGACACTGGAGGGGTTTACCATTTCCTTCTCCAGCTCATTGTACAGATGAGGAAACTGAGGCAGATGGGGTTAAGTGGCTTGCCCAGGGTCACACAGCTAGTGTTTGAGGCCAGATTTGAACTCATGAAGGTGAGTCTTTCTGCCTCCAGACCAGCCACTCTATCCATTTTTTCCATCTAGCTGCCCCATTTTGCACATAGTAGGTGTTTAATAAATGGTTGTTGGGTGAAGTTCCGTAGGGCGTGCAGAGTTGCAGATGTGGCCAGGGCTACGCGTCAGTGTATATACATGTGGATGCGATAGACTTGAGGTTCCTCTCTCTTGGCTTTCTGGGCCTGTACAAAGAAAATCTCTGGCATTGAGGCTGTGGGGGTAGGGATGAGCCCAGGAGTGGATTCTTTGCTTACCTCTGCCTGTGTGAAGTTCCTCAGGGCATCCCCACTGCTCCCCAGCCGAGAGTGGGCCAGCGGCCCCAGCCGAGGGCCTCGCTCCACTAGGTAAAACAGGTGTTGAGAGTCTGTATCTTCATTGGTGGTCACTTTCAGGTTTCGATTGGTTATGATCTGGAAGATTCCTGTGAGAAGGCAATGCGGGAGCCAATCAGCTTCTGGGTAGTTATAGGATCATAAATCTAGGGCTGGAATGAACTTAGAAGTCCAAACTCCTCATTTTACAAATGACAAAACTGAGGCACAGAGAGTATTTTGCCCAAGGTCACAGAAGTAGTAAGTGACAGAGCTAGGAGTTTTGAACTAAGGTGTTCAGTGGTGTCCAGTCAAATCTGACTCTTCATGACCCCATTTGGGGTTTTCTTTTTTTTTTTTAATTTTTAGGAAGTTGGGGTTAAGTGACTTGCCCAGGGTCACATAGCTAGTAAGTGGTCAAGTGCTTGGTCTGAGGCCAGATTTGAACTCAAGTCTCCTGACTTCAGGGCCAGTGCTCTATCCATGGGGTTTTCTTGGCAGAGACACTGGAGTGGTTGGCCATTTCCTTTTCCAGCTTATTTTACAGATGAGGAAACTGAGGCAAATAGGGGCAAATGATTTGCCCAGGGTCACACAGCTAGTAAGTGTCTGAGGCCAGTGGAATCCACTGTGCTACCTAGTTGCCCTCTGAACCTTGGACTTGAACCTTGACCTTGAACCAAGGTCCCCTGACTCTAAATGCAATGAGATTCCAATGTTTCATACTCACAACCTGCCCAGGGAAGCTAAAGGGTAACCAGGGCTCAGGGGCAGACTGCTCTGAATCTGACTGGCTGAGGTCGAGGGGTTTCTTTGTTCTCCTCAACTGGGGAGAGGAGTAAGCATAAGCCTAATCCATCACTTTGCCAGGCTCAGTAGCACCATTCTGACAGGCTAACAGCCCCAGTAAAGCCAACAGTCAGAGAATAAATAAATAGACCGTTCGCTCTAAAGCAGACCCACCTGGACAGATGGTCAGGGCTTGGTTGCTTTCCACAGTGATTTGTCGCAACTTTAGAGCCTTCACAGAGAAGAAGTGTCCTGGGGAGACGTTATCTCCATCAGAGAGGTTGAATTGGAATCCACCATCCAGGGACCCTGGAGAATGACAGAAGGCAGTGCCGTGAATATGGCCTTGACTTCTCACTGTTCCCTAGAGATGGACTGCTTTGGGGTTGGGGGAGCCCTGTGGTTGTGAGGGGTAGAGGTGGGGTGTTGGGTGCTAAGGGACGGTAACCCAATGTGCCCCCTGGTACACATCAGATCCTCTTGGATGGAAAGTTGGAGTTGCAGTGGGGCTGGGGAGGGGGAGGTGGGGCACTTTGGAGGTGGATGGAAGGAGTATTGGGCAGGGGGTCAGGTAGCCTGTGTTCTAGTTCTTACTACAGGTTGTTGGGTATGTCACTTCATTTTTCTGAGACTCCATTTCCTTAAGTAGAGATAACAGTCTTCTCCACCTACTCCATGAAGATGGGGGGTGGGAGAGAGAGAAGACGGGACTGGGAGGGGCTGATCATTATACCACCAGGTATATAACTCTCCCCACCACTCCTCACCCTCAGGAACTGCTCCTGAGTATGTGCTGAATTCCCTTATTGGAATGTAGGTTCCTTGCCAGGGATGGTTGTGGACACCTGGAATCCCTGCTGCTGGGGAGGCTGAGGCTGGTGGATTGAGTTCTGAGCTGCGGTATGGCTAAAGACGATCAGGTATATACACTAAGTCTGGCATCAATATGGCGAGTCTTCAGTGGGGGCTACCAAGCTGCCTCAGGAGGGGCAAACCTGCTCAGGTCAGAAACAGAACAGGTCAAAGCTTCTGTAACAATCAGCAGTAGGATTGGGCCTAGGGATGGCTGCTGTATTTTCAGCTAGAGCCAGATAGGGAGACCCAGTGTGAAAAGAAAGAAAGCAAGGGGGAAAGGAAGAAAGGAAGGAAAAAAGAGAAATAAAAGAGAAGGAAGGAAAGTAGGAAGGAAGGGAGGGAGGAAGGAAGGAAGGAAGAAAGAAAGAAGGAAAGAAAGAAGGGAAGGGAGAGAAAGAGAAAGAGGAAGGAAGGATGAAAGAAGAAAAAGAATATAAGCTCCTTGAGGGCAGGGACTGTCTTGTTTGCTTTGCTGTGTATCCCCAGTATGTAAACGCAGTGCCTGACACATAGTATGTGCTTTTATATCTGTCTGTACATCTATCTCTTTGTTTGCACATCCATCTCTCTGTCTGTCTGTTTTTCTGTTGGTCTATATGTCTACTCACCTTCATGGACAAACTGAACAAGCCCGTTATTGATCTGGGCCTGAGTGAACTGCTGGACCTCCGTCCTGGGGGACAGCCTGAGCACCATCTTCCCGTTGGTTGGTGGCTCGATGGAGAAGACCAGATTTTCAGGTGGGGAGTCAGCATCGTCTCCTTTCAGGATATCAGGGGTGATCTGGGCTGTGGCTCCTTCCCACATCTGTAAGCACATCTCAACAGTTAGCCCACCCCCAGTCAGTAGACCTAGGACCCCTCACCGGGGGGCCTTCTTGGATGGGAGGAAGGACACAGGAGTTGCTGTTTACCATTCTATATGTGTGGGGACCAGAGCTGCCTTTTTCATATGGTCACCTACCTCCCCTCCCCCATCTCTCTCCCAAACCTCCACTGATAAAATAATTGAGTCTAAATGCCTCAGCTCATCATTCCAAACCTTTCATGATCTGGCCCATGGCACAGGGGTAAAAATCATGGATTTGGCATCATAAGATTTGAGTCTGAATCCTGACTTTGACACTTAGTACCTATTTGCCCTTGGATGAGACAGGAATCCCCTCTGGGCCTCAGTTTCCTCACTTGTGAAATGAGGGGGAGGAAGAAAAGACCTTAAAGTACCTTCTAGCTTTGATCTGGTGGTCACCCCACTGCTCCACCCTTAGCTCTCCAGTCAGGGCTGGCTCCTCCCTGCCCTCTGTACACACCAGGCTTATTTCTGCCTCTGAGCCTTTGCTGATGCTGTTTCCTGTTTAGGATGCCATCCCTTCCTCTCCCAGCTGTGTTCTATCCATCCTCCAAGGCTCAAGACCCACCTCCTCTGGGAAGCATTCCAGCCCAAACTAATTTTTCCCTCCTCTGAAAGATCTTGTAGCACTCCCCGTTGGCCACAGTACTCAGGACTTGGGATCATTCTTTCCTACATACAGATCCGCCTTATTATCTTTCCAAAGTATCAGTCTGGTCTCTCCTCTGTTCAAAGTCCTTCAATGGCTCCCCATTGCTCACTAATAAAACTGAACCCCCATAGCCTGACATTCAAGGCCCTTCTCAAATCTTATCTCATAATATCATTCCTCTTAGTCAATCAATCAATAAACATTTATTAAACACCTACTATATGTCAGGCACTGTGCTAAGCACTGGGGATACAAAAAGAGGCAAAAGACAGTCCTGTCCACAGGTTCTGTGTGATACAGTGGAAAGAGCGCTATATTTAGGGTCAAAAGAACTGGGTCAAATCCTGCCTCTATTACTTACTCAGATCTTCCTGACTTCAGGTCCTCCACTCTATCTACTATGCCAATTAGCCACCTCCCTTAGCATTTCCTGCCCCGCCCCTCCCCAAAGCTAGGTTCTTTCCCTAAGAAATTACTTCGTATTTCTTTTGAATATATTATGTATCTCCTGACATATATAGATTCTGATGTAAGCTCCTTAGGTGTATAGGTTGTTCAGCCTTTGTATATATCCACTACCTTCCCCAATGTCCAAGCACATGGTAGATGCTTAATAAACGCCTGTTGATTGATTTCTGAAGAAATGACTAATTGTGTGATAATATTAAAGATCAGACATCCTAGAATGGACATCCTAGAAACTGTTAAATCTAATTTTCTCATTTTGTGAATGAAGAAGTTGAGGCCCATTGAGATTACAGAGCTAAGCTAAGGTCATTAGGCTAGTAGAATAAGGCCCTTGGGATGTCCAAGTTCTTTGTATGTGAGACTGGGTGTTGGAGGAAGTAGCTGTTAGAGTACTTTCCAAGTCTGAAATTCTATGACTTATAAAAGACTTAAAGTTAAAAAAGAGATTTTTGAAAACAGCTATCTGAGGCAGGTAACTGAGTGAAATATAGAATTATGGAAATAGATATAATATATTCATATCTAAATTAAAAGAAAAGAAGAAAGGAGCAGAGAATGGGAACCGAGGCCCAGAGAGGTGGGCAGTGTGTGTGTGTGTGTGTGTGTGTGTGTGTGTGTGTGTGTGTGAGAGAGAGAGAGAGAGAGAGAGAGAGAGAGAGAGAGAGAGAGAGAGAAAGAGAGGGAGGGAGGGAGAAAGTGTGTGTCCCTGGCTTTGACCACCCCAGAGGAGCTGGGACTCCAATACATATACCTAGGTGAAAACTAAAAGGGAGAGAGAGAGCTCACTCCACCTCCCCCCCCCCCCCAGGCGCCAAGCTGGGGCCTGTCAGTCACCGGAGCTTCCCCTGGGGACCAGTGTGGCTGCCAGCTCCAGTTCCTCCGTGTTACTGACACCTGTCCTCCAGGAACTGGGTTTGTGTGTCTGCCCCAGTTTGTCCTCAGCCTGGGAGGGGGTTCCCCAAAGCCAGACATGGTCTTACCCATGGGCACAGCAGCCTGAGGAAGGCCCCATTGCCTGTCTCCTCCCCCTTGCTACCCCCTACTCCCCCATCTCTCCTCTCCCTGCTGGTGGACAGCTGAGATCTCCTCCCCAGGAGCCAGAGCCTTTCACTCCCCAGGGAAGGCTCAGACTTACAAGGTTCACAACTATTGTCTAGGGAACACAGGGATGGAGTCCCACCCAGGGGGGAGGAGCAGGCCCCTAGGGAGAGTAGAGAAGAGCTCTAGGGAAGGGTAGTGAGCACAGGCCTAGCAGCTAGTTTGGGGAGGGAGTGGGTGTGGGAAGGGGCACCCTGGAGGTAGGGAAGGTGCTGTGAAAGTGTATGTGTGTGTGCATGTGTGTGTGTGTGGGCTAGGCTAATTCTGCTACTATCACAGCTCTGCCCCAGGAGGTTCTATCTGCCCAAAGCAGCTTGAAATTGCAGAAAAGCAGAATAAGCCTATGCCAGGAGCCATCTAAGCCTCCACTTCTCTGTGGCGGTTCCTTCTCTCCCAAAGAGCCAGCCTTCAGAGTGGCCCACCTGACTGTGTGGATGTAAGGGCAACAGCCCTGCATCAGGAAGCCCATCTGGCTTACATTTTGCCATTACCTACAGGACCTGAGGCTAGGAAGGAGTTCTGGCTCACCTGTGTCCTGGGCCCCCTTGGCAGGCAGGCTAGGGAAGCCTGGGTCCCCTTCCCAGAGTCAGGCTTTTAAATGATTGGAGGAAATACTGAATTTCAGTTAGAAGTGAGCGAAAATAATGTCATTTCTTTCCCATCCAAGTTCACAAACCCCTGGTCTAGGTGATCTTTAAAATCCCAGTTAGTTCTAAATCCTGTGATGGCACAGTAGGAAAAAACCCTAGGATAATAATGATAATAATAACAACAATAGCGAACATTTATACAGCTTGCAGTGTGCCAGGCACCGTGCTAAGTGCTTTACAAATATTATTGAATTTGATCCTCACAGCAACCCTGGGAGGTAGGTGCCTTTATCCCAGTTAAACTGAGGCAAACTGATTTGCCTGGGGTTACACAGCCCAGTGTCTATGACAGCATCTGAGCTCAGGTCTTCCTGATTTCAGGCCTGGTGCTCTAACCACTGTGCCCCAAGATCACAGATTTAGAGCTGAAAGGACCTAAGAGGCCCCTGAGTCTACCCCTTAATTTTACAGGTGGGGAAATGGAGGCAGAGAAAAGCTAAGTGACTGCACTGCTGTTACACGGCTAGCAAAATGTCCGAAGGAGCATTTCAACTCAGGCCTTCCTGATCCCATGCCCAGCCCTCTATCTACTGCCCCACCTCTAGTAGCAGCAGCAGCAGCAGTAGTAGTAATAGTGGTAGTAATAGTGGTAGTGATAGTAGTAGTAGTAGTAGTGGTGGTGGTGGTGGTGGTATAGTAGTGGTAGTAATAGTAGTAGTGGTAGTAGTAATAGTGAAAGTAGCATAGTGGTGGTAGTAGTGGTGGTGGTAGTAGTAGTGGTGATAGTGGTAGTAGTAGTAACAACAACAATGATGACATTCATATAGCTCTTTTAGGTTTGCAAAACACTTTACATATATTATCTCATTTGATGCTCACAATAACTCCTTGAGGTATAAGGGGTGTTATTATACCCATTTTATAGATGAGAAAACTGAGGCACAAGAAAGGTTAAGTGACTTGCCCTGGGTCACACAGCGAGTGTCAGAGGTGAAATTCAAACTCAGGTCTTCCTGACTCTAGGCACTCTACCCTCCAGCTTCACAGCTGAACTTCTCTGGGATCCCGTGTTCTCATCTGTTCAATGACGCAGCTGGACTAGATGGCCTGGGAGGTCCCTTACAGATTTAGTCTGGGATCTGGGGGTCCTGTAATCCTGGGGTCCTATGACCTTGTTTAATTTCTCTGGCGTCAGTTTCTCTATAAAAGGAGGATAAGGAAAGCCTGGCTGACAGAGCTGAAGGATCAGGGGCTTCAGGGACTGTGACAGACACCTGGGGAGGTGGGGGTGGTGGGTGGAGGTCGGGGGTGCTGGTTACCCTTCCCCCTCTCTCCATCATACGTGGAGGTAGGAAGCGGGAGGTGCGTCTTCGCTCTAAGGGTTCCTCTGACACATGTGCTGAGCCTGCCACCTTGTGGCCACACTGAGGTATTAACTGTCTTCTGTTCCTGCGGAGAGGATGGTGCTGGGTGCATTTGGCCCTCAGACTTCCCCGTGCCCTAGCCAGCACACCTGATTTCTTGTTTTCCTGGGCCTAGGCATTAAGGGGAAGGATGTGTCTTCCGCAGAAACTCAAGGGCACTCCCTCCTCTTTTCTTCGTACTTGTACCTCTAGCATCCAGCCTGGTGCCTGGCACATAGTAATGTTTAATAAATGCTTTTTGGTGGATTTATTGGCTTCCTCCCCACTATAGGTGATTACCCAGGCATTTTTTTCCTCTCTACCCCCAGAGACATTCCCCACTTCAGGCATGGCAAAAAAATCTGGGTGCCATCCTGGCCTAGGCTTCCTGACTGAGTCTACCCCTAAGAGACTTTGGAAGAAAATGACTCATTTCTCTTGGAGTCAAGTAGGGAAGTTCACCCGGCAGGTTCTCCAGAGACCTGAATTCCACTTCTGTCTTTGTCATTGGCCTACTCTGTGAATCTGCCAGGGCTCATTATCTCTGTGGACCTGTTTTCTCAGCACAATGGCTGCTCTGAGTATCTCAGCATTGCTCCATGGAAGAGACGGGAAAATGGGTTGGGAAGTAAAGAACAGAGCATGAGGACAGAACACTGCTATTCTTTTATTTATTTTGCTTTTTTTTGGTGATGTGATCAGGGTTAATTGACTTGCTCAGGGTCACACAGCTAGTAAGCGTCAAGTTATCTGAGGTCAGATCTGAGCTCAGGTCCTCCTGACTCCAAGGCTGGAGCACCACCTGGCTGCCCCTATTATTATTATCTTGTTCCTCTCATCTTTTCAATGGAGTTTAGATAGAAACAGTCTCAGGACAAGTTGCTGTTCTGCTGTTCATGAAAATCGATATAACTGAATGTCCTGTGGCCTCTGGCACCGAGGGTTAGATAGCCACCTTTTGTAACTGAGCAAAGGCATTCTGGGATGAAAGGTTGTCTTCTGTGGCTTCATGGGAGACATCGTTAGGCTAACAATTACTCACACATATATCACACTTTATAAGGATTATCCCATTTGAACCTTGTACCAATACCACAAAGGAGATGCTATTATCATCCTCATTTTACAGATGGATAAACTGAAGCTAAGAACAGTTAATGACTTGCCCAGGGTCATACAGTGAACCAGCATGTGAGGCAGGATTCACACTCAGGACTCTTGACTCCAAGCTCTTTATCTACTGTACCACTTAGGTCCCAGCTAGAACTCCAGCAGCAGACAAGATGGCGGGGATGATGTGTCCCAACCATGTTCCAACCTTGTCCCGTTCCCACGTGGCTTTAGTCCCATTATTTTGTCTCCTCCAGGACTCCCTATCTTTCCCCCTCTATCCCATATTACTAGCCTTCATTTATTTTCCCCTCTGGGAAAACTGGACTATTCTCCACAGCCCCAGAATACCCCCATACTTGCCCACCTTTGCTCATTCATTTCCCCTACCTAGAATGAAATCCTACCTTAACCTAATTCAAATGCCGACTCTTCTATGAAGCCATCTCTGATTTTCTCCCCACCCCCCTACCCAATGGACTCACTCTTCAGATGTCATGGTAGACTTTGTTTTGTACCATTCTAATGGAATGGATGGAAAGGCCTTTACTATGTGCTGAGCAAACTAAGCCCTGGGAATACAAACAGAAACTGGAGCCAATCCATGTCCTCAAGGTCATGTTCTAATTGGGAGAGACAATACATAAAAGAGGGGTCAAGTTCACGTTCAGCTCATGGAAGATGGAAAGGCCAGGTAGGATTAAGATTTTGGCAGGGAAAATTGCGGGGTGGATGGCAAGGCCCTGTGGACGTTGGGGAGCAATAGTAGGGTGCGTAGTCCCCTGCCAAGAGGAGAGTAGATCCAAGGGTCAGAGTGGAACAGAGTGTGCATTATAGTTCTCTGTGGCTGCGTCTCATCGCTACTAGACTGTGAGCACCAGGAGGGCAGGGATCATAATTGATCTAAAGGCTCTGCTCATAGTAGGTGCTTAATAAATGTTTGGAGAATAAATGAAAGGTGAGAGGGACCTGCTACTGAGCCCTAGGGGAATCCTGCCTCTAGAGTCCTCTCTCTCTCTCTATCTCTCTCTCTCTTTTTGGCTAGGCAATGGGGTTAAGTGACTTGCCAGGGTCACACAGCTAAT